TCTTGTTGTTCATTGATTTGCTTGAGCAGGCACCAGTAATGTCTTCATTCGTCCGTGTGGTGTGTTAGTGTAACCCAGTGGCGTCTGCTTGCTCCAGGAACACAAAGAGCATCAAACCATTTGTTAAGGATCTTAATGAAGAAGTCTGACCATCTCGTAGGTGGGCGACCAGGTGTTCTTTTGACATCTTGTGGAATCCAGTCGGTAACAGCTCTAGTCCACCGGTTGTCTCCAAATCAAATTATGTGTCTGGCCCATCTGATTTCCGACACCTTGGCAAATGAAGCAGCATCCCTGATCTTAGATAGTTGAAGGAGATCAGAATTCCAGATTCCTTCTCTCACTTGAGTGACTCCAAGCATAGCTCTTTAGATTCCTCTCTGGGTGACTAGAATAACATTCACATCCTGTTTTCAAAGGTCTCTGAGGCATATGTTAGTTCAGGAAGAATCATGGAGTTGAAAAGATGTGCCTGGAGCCAGAGGTTCTTCATCCTCTTAACAACTTTGATGCTCTTGAAGGCGTTCCACACCACTCTCTTTCTCCCGTACAGATCAGGTGCCCAGTTGTTTCTTATGTTGCATTTTTATAACTGCTGCATTCAGAGATGCCCGTTCAATTGAAAGAAAATGGAACATCAGGGACTAGTCCATTTCTCATGAATTCCTCATAGGAATTTACTTAATATAATGAAATACTATATATTAGATTGCAAGGTTTATCATAGTCATACACCACAAAATAAGTAGTTTAAACAAAAGAAATTTATAGTTCAAAGTTTATCTGTTTCTTGTTGTTGGCACAGCTCATGGCACACCGCTGGCTTTGTACTCAGGGATGTTGCATGCAAGGCAAACCTCTAACCCAAATGTACTAGCTCTTTGGCCCTGATTGTTCAAATTTCTACAGGGTAGAATTTCAAGATCAAGTTGTAATAAGTGAATTCCTTTTGACTATTATTGGACAATAAGTGTCATGATATTTTTCTTGTGTTTGGTAACTTGCTGACAATAGTTGGAGTTGACCGCTCTGACTTGAATATATGTCATTCTACTCTATATTCATTTTTAGCTAGTGTTTTTCTTGTGATATGTTTATTTATAATTTTTCCTATTTTTTTAAATTTTTTAGGTCACACCTGGCGATGCTCAGGGGTTACTCCTGGCTCTGCACTCAGGAATCACCCCTGATGGTGCTCAGGGGACCATATGGGATTCTGGGAATCGAACCTGGGTCAGCCGCGTGCAAGGCAAACGCCCTACCCGCTGTGCTATCACTTCAGACCCTATAATTTTTCCTATTGATGCAATACCAGTCAAATTTTTTGGAGGATCAAATTTGCTCCATTTTTGCCTCAATCAATTGAATCTATAATCATTCTATTTCCAAACAATGTCACATTCTGTGGCAGTGAAGGTTAGAAATTTGTTATAAGAAATTTTGGAGTCATGCAACTTAATCCATAATAGATAATATATTCTAAAAATAAGTAGATTATATATTCTAAAAAAGAGTTGATTAGGGTAGTGATAGTAGATAGTAGTGATGTGGACAGATTATAGAATAATCATGATAGAAATTTGATATAAGAAATTTTGGAGTCATGCAACTTAATCCATAATAGATAATATATTCTAAAAATAAGTAGATTATATATTCTAAAAAAGAGTTGATTAGGGTAGTGATAGTAGATGGTAGTGATGTGGACAGATTATAGAATAATCATGATTGCTTAGCCAAAGTTTCAGAACAAATTGAAGCAATAGAGAAAGTTGAGACTATTCTAAACTAAAAACCTTTCTCTAAAATGGGCAAAATTGAAAGACAACCCATTGAATAGAAGAAGATATTTGCAAATTATTTATCAGACAAGGAATTAATATCCAAAAAATTTGACACTTTTTTTATAATGCAACAATAAAAACAACAGATTATTCAATGTTTTAAAATGAATACAGGACATAATTAATATATCTGTACCTACATACATCATCACTGCATATCATCACTGCATCTATATCATCTATAGGTATAAAAAATGTTTTCCATTTACAGTAATATGGATGGTCATTAAGAGTTATAATAAGAAAAGCATCATACTGAGAAAAGTAAAAAAACTGAATTTATTTGGGTGTGGCAGATAAAGCAAATGATCAACTATAACAAAGCTTAGACTACAACAATAACTTGGTAGGAACAAAGGAGAAGCAGGATGGAATGCAGATATATTATATGCTATGTCTGAGAGCTGGATTTTCCATATTGATTGTAATGAAGTAAATGCAGATGTAAAAATGTACAGCTGCGCATCAAAACTGACATCATAGACCAGTAATGTCTCAATAAAAAAATGATCACAGTCAAGTTTTAGAATTTGTGATAAGCTACTAGGAAAACTTAGGGAAAGTTGGACTTTCGTAGAAACCTCCCCCAATACCCTTTTTGTTTTTTTTTTTGTTTGGTTTTGTTTGGTTTGGTTTGGTTTGTTTTTTTTTTTTGGTACCACACACAACAATGCTCAGGAGTAACTCCTTTCTCTGCACTGGAGTCACTCCTGGTGGTGCTCACGGGATTATATGGGATGCCAAGGATCAAACCAGGGTCAGCTGCATGCAAGGCAAGTACTGTACCCCTGGGCCTGTACCCTTTTACTCAGCAAACCCTACTTGATAAATTTATGTTTCTTAAATAATTTTTATTTTTGTTTGAATGATAATAAATATTGTGAAGCTGTATATGTGAGAGAGAGCATTTGTAGATTATCTCTTTCTTGGTATCATAGGCACTAACTAGTGCAAATAAAAAAAGGATAAAGAAATTTTACAAATAAAATATGAACATATCTACTTTTCATTCCTCATAAATAGTTATGACACTAATTTGGACCTTCAGTTACATAAACTTATATATATACATGTTTAGTGGTTGCATGATTAGTTCTATGTCTTCAACCAAATTATAATAAAATCCCAGAATGACCCTTTATAGACAGAGAGATTCACTTAATCACTTAACTTCCCGTTAGTCGTTGATTTGCTCTAGCGGGCGCCAGTAACGTCTCCATTTGTCCCTGTCGCGTGCTAGTGTAGCCCAATGGCATCTGTTTGCTCCGGGAACATGAAGGGCCTCAAACCGATCGTTCATGATCTTGACGAAGAAGTCTGACCATCTGGTAGGTAGACAGAGAGATTGGACAATCAGAATTTGGGAATTGACTGATAAATTCCCAAGTACCAAATGATCACATAGAAAATTCCAAGTGTACTTTTACTGAATTTGATTTGTCTATGTAAAGTTGACATTTGTTACGTTATTATTTGTTTGTTGGAGCAATAGAACAGCAGGTAGTGCATTTGCCTTGCACGCAGACAATCCAGGTTCGAATCTTTCTCCCATCTCACAGAGTCCAGCAAGCTACCGAAAGTATCTCAACTGCACAACAGAGCCTGGCAAGCTCCTCATGGTGTATTCCATATGCCAAAAACAGTAACAATGTAACAATAAGTCTCACAGTGGAGATGTTACTGGTGTCAGCTCAAGCAAATCAAGGAACAATGGGAGGATAGTGCTACAGTTTATTTTAGTTTAGTCTCCATAATTAGCAATACTAGGGTTTGCTAATGATAGGGTTTTAAGCTCCCTGAAACAGAAATTAAGCCCCTCATTGACTTGTGGGCTTATGTGTGTATTTCTATGTTTTATTGTTTTGGGGTCACACCCAATGATGCTCAGGAATTATTTCTGGCTCTGTGCTCAGGAATTACTCCTGGTGTTGCTCAGGGGACCATATGGAATACCAGAGATTAGACTCGGGTCTCCCATGTGCAAGGCAAATACCCTGATTTTTTTAAGTAGCACTGCAGCACTGTCCTCCCGTTGTTCATTGATTTGCTCAAGCGGGCATCAGTAACGTCTCCATTGTGAGACTTGTTACTGTTTTTGGCATATTGAATACACCACCGGGAGCTTTCCTGGCTCTGCCATGGGGGCAGGAAACTCTCAGTAGCTTGCTCGGCTCTCTGAGAGGGATGAGGAATTGAACCCGGGTCGGCCGCATGCAAGGCGGACACCCTACTTGCTGTGCTATTGCTCCAGCCTTATTACCAGCTCTGCAAAGCTCTATATATTTCCTCAAGACTAAAAGAACTGATTAGAACATGAGGATTAGGATGAGGTGGAAATAGGAAGTGACAGGAAAAAATACACCTCAATTTTTAAACTTCAGAAATCTCTAGGGTCTACTACCCTTTCCAGTGCAGATCATTCACAGGCCATATTCAGTAACAATGCAACTGAGTGCCAAATCCAAAGGGGGTGTGAGGAGATCTTTGCAATTTGATTTTCTTAAAACTTTTTTTTTTGCTTCAAAAGAAAGAGTTGTTTAATGGTTTTGGAGAGAAAGATTAATGCTCCAGGGAACTAAATCAACTCTTAGGCAGTTAAGGTCCTTTTCGGGATATCGAAATGGGCAATTAAAAAAGAGGTAGCTGTAGAACCAGAATGAGTTATAGTTTCCCAAGATGTCAAAGTTTATCAAGAGACTATCATACATATTTGGGGAAATTGGTTCCAATCTGCAGAAGTATATTCTTAAACCAAAATGAAAAAAAAACCATTTTAAAATAAGTAAAAATACCAAAAGATGCATGAGTAGTATAATAAGTAGTATAATAACTAACCTGATAAACAATACACATAACAACGTATGTATTTATTTCATAAATACCTAATATACTCTATTGTCACAAGTCACCCTGGTTTTGTAGTTGAATAATAAGTATAGCACCTTAAAATACATGACTTTCAAGATGGATAAAAGAGTGAAGGAGTCAACACATGCTGACCTCAAACTCCACAGATTTCTGCCTCAGGGGGAGAAGTCACAGCAGATGCTGGGCGATTAGGCTGTGGTTTTAGCAACAGCACATGGAGGCATTGAATAATGGATATCCTTGGGAGCCCTTGGCGGAGGCTGCAAGAAACCATAGAAAGAGGGAAGAATGTTGAAAAGCCTGAAGAATCTTGCAGTGACCAGGGGAGAACCAGAAAACAAAATTGGCAATGAATCTTTCAATACCCAAGTAAACAAGCTTCCAGATAAAGGATGTTACTCATTAGAGCAGAAGAGAATTTGTTGGCTTGTTGCAGTGGTCACTCACATAAAATGAATACATTACTAAGTATAGGTTCTATTTGAGAAAGATTGGACGACTATTACCTATCAGAACCATTAGCTGTTTAACCCTGACGGGCAGATGAGCACAGATTAATTTATAGAGCACATATTGACAGAAATCTTCAGAATGTTTTCCAAATAGTTAAACTGCTACTCTTTACTGATGATAAAGCATTCCTGGCGGAAATAAAGGAAGGCTGAGATGGCACTACTGTCTACTACTATAGGTTGCAGTTTACAGCGATAAACTTCCCATCTCCTATCAAGCCTTCACCATGCTGTTCACTGCACAGCCGTTATCTTCACATGCTGACACATATAATCTAACATTCTCACTTTGCCACAGTCGGAGCAATTGCTTGACAATTTGATTACAGTTTCCTGTCAGCTCATGCAAGGAATACTTCTGTGAGCTTTCAGGAATTTCAAAATATTTTGATTTTGAAATGATAGTAATCTATGAAGAAAAATGTCTTCAAAATATTGATTTCTGATAACAAATCAAGATATGCATAAAGGAAATTGTGCTGAGTCTATGAATAAGTAGGTGCTGAAGCACACATGGGGAATGAAAGTGGAGTGATGAGATGAAAGAGAGAAAAACTTGAGTTGTAGAAACTACTGATGGATGCATAGTTTGTGATACAAGACTCAACATCAATGTTCAGTGGTCTTATGAGGATAATAAAATCATTGCTCTTAGTGGCTCAGTTCATAGCACACATTTATTAATGTCCTTTCAAAAAACATTTTTTCTCCTTAAGATAGCTAAAAGTTGTTCGGTATGTAAATTGGTAGAACATTCACAGGGAGAGAAAATGAGGCAAGAAAGATTGTCATTTAGAAGGCAGAGCATATCATACTTTAATAAATGTGTGTTTTTAAATGAAATCATCTTAAATGTTAAATGGCGTGTGTATATTTAAGAATGTTATTCTCTTAGCCATTTGAACTTCTTTGAGAAAGTTTCTGTTCATTTTTTGATGGGGTTGGATGTTTTCTTCTTGTGGAGTTCAACCCGTACTTTGTATATCCTTGATATCAGCCCCTTGGCAGATGTGTCTTGGATGAATATACTTTCCCCTTCTGTAGACTGTCTCTTTATTTTGGTCACTTTCTTTAGAGGTGTAGAAGCTTCTTAGATTAAGATAGTCTTATTTGTCTATCTCTGTTTTCAATTGCTTGGCCAGTGGTGTGACATAGCTTCAATGTCATGAAGGGTTTTGCCAACTTTGTCTTCAATCTATCTATGGATTCCGGTTTGATGTTGAGGTCTTTAATCCATTTTGATCTTATTTTTGTACATGGTGCTAGACAGAGATTTTTTTTATAAAACACCATGGGTACAGCTATAGACATACAAATTTTTGTGCTTGGGTTTCAGTTATACAATGATCGAGTACCCATCCCTCCATCAGTGCCCATTTTCAGCCACCACTGATCCCAGTATCCCTCCCACCCCCATTCTCCCGATCCCACCCTGCCTCTGTGGCAGGGCATTCTCTTTTGTTCTCTCTCTCCTTTTGGGTGCTGTGATTTGCAAAAGAGGCATTGAGTGACAATCATGTTTGGTCTATAATCTACGTTAAGCGTGCATCTCCCATGCTGGGAGGATCCTCCCAACAAGCCATGGAGTAAACCTCCTGGTACTTATCTCAGCTATTCTTGGGTGTTAGTCTCCTGTTTTGTTACTTTATGTTCCCCAGATGAATGCAATCTTTCTATGTCTGTCCCTCTCTCTCTGACTCATTTTGCTTAGCATGATACTTTCCATATAGTATCGCTTGTATGTAAATTTTATGACTTCATCTTTTCTAACAGCTACAAGTACTCTATTGTGTAGATGTACCAAAGTTTCTTTAACCAGTCATCTGATCTTGGGCACTCATTTTTTTCCCAGATTCTAGCTATTGTAAACAGTGCTGCAATGAACAAACAAATGCAGATGTCACTTTGACTATACTTTTTTGCCTCTCTGGGATATATTCCCAGGACTGGTACTGCTGGGTCAAATGGGAGCTCAAAATCTAATTTTTTGAGAATCGTCCATACTATTTTCCAAAAGAGCTGAACGAACCATCCAGCATTCCTCCCAGCAATGAAGAAGGATCCCTCTCTCGCCACATCTGTGCTAACACTGGTTGCTTTTGTTCTTTTGAATATGGGCCAGTCTCTATGGTGTTAAATGATATATCATTGTTGTTTTGATCTACATCTCCCTGATAATTAATGATGTAGAGAATTTTCTCATGTGCCTTTTAGCCATTCAGATTTCTTCTTTGCGAAAATTTCTGTTCATTTTGTTGCCCCATTTTTGATGGTGTTGGATGTAATCTCCTTGTAGAGTTCAACCAGTATTTTGTATATCCTTGATATCAACCCCTTGTTGGATGCATATTTGGCGAATATCCTTTCACATTCTGTACATTGTCCCATTTGTCTGTCTCTGTTTTCACTCGCTTAGCCAGTGGTGTGACATCTTTGAAGATACCAGTAGTTTCATGTCATGGAGGTTTTTGCCAACTTTGTCTTCAATGTACCTAATGGATCTTATGGAAGAGAACAGCATAGAGTCTCCTGCCCCCACTCCTGGCTGTCCTCGCCGGGGCCCCTTGGAGGGGAGCGGGTTGAGTTTCCCTCCCCGCCCCAACCAGGGCTCTGCAGCCGAAGACCTCCAGAACCAGCCACCACCATGCTGAAACCACTCTCCACATGAATGAAGGTACCGCCAGAGGAACAAAGGCATGCGGGGCCCAGGGCTGAGATCTCCAAGCCTGCTCAGATTGGGGCTGAGCATCCTCCACCCAGATCCTCCATAATCCAGTAGGCAAGGGTCACACCCACTAACTGGCCCCCTGGCGCCATGTAATCCCATCAACGGCCAAGACCCAGAGACTATAAAACCCAGATCCCAGAAGCACGTGGCCGCATTCCCGGCCCTGCAACATCTTATTATCTCATCCTTACTTTGGACAAACTGGCAGGCTACTGAATGTAACCTGCCCACATGGCAGAGTCTGGAAAATTCCCTGTGGCGTACCCTATATGCCAAATATCAGTAAAGATGATGGGTCTCATTCTCCTAGCCCTGAAAGAGCCTTGAATATACCACATTTTAAAAAGTCTCAGGACTAGGACGAAGAACACGTTACTGGGGCCTGCTGGAGGCAATCGACGAACAACAGGATGGTCATGATCGTGATCGTACCTTATGGATTCCGGTTTGATGTTGAGGTCTTTAATCCATTTTGATCTTACTTTTGTAAATGGTGTTAGGCAGAGATCTGAGACCAGTTTTTTTGCATGTAGCTGTCCAGTTGTGCCAGCACAATTTGTTAAAGAGGCTTCCCTTGCTCAACTTCACATTTCTTGTAAGTCTACACCTGTACCTCATGGTGTTTCACTAGTAAAAATTAAAAAAAAAAGAATGTTTTTCTCTTCATACAATCTGGAGAGGCTTTTTAATGTAATTATAATACTGGCTTTTTGTAAGGGCTAATATTGATGTGATATAGAACTTGCCTTAAATGATTGACCTTTCCCCCTGAGATGAGAATTTGCCTAGAAATTCTTCCACATTCTTTTTGGGTCTCTCAGAATTCAGTCATTCAAAATAGTTGCCGTCAGCATTTTAGGCACTACTATATGATAGTAGTTTTCTACAGAAAAAGACAAAGGTGAAATTATTTTGTAAGTGAACAAGATAGAAATGGGCATAGGATAAAGGCTAAAAAAAATCATGACATTTTTAATGGAGAAAAAAAATGTCCTGAAATGAAAACCTATTACTGTAGCCCTGGAGCTAAAGGTAATTTATAGGTAGACTAGTAAAACATGTGTTCTTCAATAACGCCATCAATCACTTTACCTGGAATCTAGCCACTCAGCAATGTATGGCTCTGGCATGAATCTTGTGTTTATCAAGCTATGTTTAGTCAAATAGTTTTTAATGACATCACTTTTAGACATTAGTCAAAATTATTGAAGTCTGTAATATGTACTGTGTACTTTATTTGTCCTATTAGATGCGCATCCATATATGTTAATCTTGCTTTTCTATTCAAAATATGGAGTAAAATATTGTTATCAATTTACTTATTTGAAAGTGTACATTATTCAGTAGGATGAGCTTCTGTCACTGACATTTATTTTCATCTTGGTAATGAACATGAAATCCATTGTGTTTATGTGCCTATGTGAGTTTTGACAAACATTTGTCAACCATGTAATCATCATCACAAAATACAGAACTGCTCAATAATTTTCCCAAATTCCTCCTAATACTCTATAAACAATGCTTCCCACATTTCTTGTCAACCACTGATCTGTTTCCCACTCCTATAATATTGTTTTTCAGAATGTCATATAAATGGAATAATAATATATGGACTTAAAGTCTAATATTCTTCACACTGGAAGTGCAATGGTTATTCATCCTTGTTGTTTATGTCAGTTGTGCAATCTTTTTAGTGTAGACTAGCACTTCAGAGTGTTTTTATATTGCACCTTGATTTAAATTGAGCCCAGATTTTAGAAATTACCAATAGAGCCAGTATAAATATTAACATACATATTTTGTGTAAACCTAATACTCCCCATAGCGTGAATATATACATTGGTTAGGTATAATGATATGGATTGGTCATAGTATAAGTGTCTGTTTAACAAAAGTCGGGCAAGTTTCTTTTGTACAGTAGACACACCATGTTGAAATCTTAAAAATATTGTATTGAAATTCAATTACTCCATACACTTGCTAGCTCTTATAAATGTGAATGTGTCTGTGTTTAGCTGTTCTATGTTCTGTAGTATCTCATTGTGGTTTTTATTTCTCGTTTTTAGGCAATAATGTTCAGCATTTAATTCTAAACTTTGCCATTTCTACATTTTCTTTCATGAAATGAC